TATTATCTGCATGCGGTCCTCGCAGCAACACAACATAGCTCCTTAGAAAAAGGTCAAAGCTAGTGTTTTCACCACGAGATGCCTGGCCATATTTCTTCTGCATGATTTTTTTTCTAGCCGATTTTTTTCTCGTTGTTCAATTTTTCTGTAAGTAGAGTGCAATTTCGTTTCTGTTAGCGTTCTGGTTGTGCTTGGGTTCGCTGGTATCTAATCAGCTTCGACCGGTTCGATCCGAGCAACTGTAGTAGGGATCGGTGGTGTTACCCACACAAATACTTCCCTAGTCCTCCAGCTATAAAAGTCTCGATCCATTAGGCTCTTGTTTCTTAATTGAATCCACTTCCGTTGTACAACTTTCCCAACATCACACGTTTTCCGCTTGCCTAGAACGTTCAATCAGCTTAAAATTTTTTCGTTCTTTTCTACAAACCAATGGGGCATTACCGACTGCGTGTCACTACGCGCCGAAATATACGAGCAATATAACGAATAACATCGGCAGTCTCTGCTTGGTAGAAATATGTCACGAAATAGAAAAGGAAGGCAAGCTAAAGAAGATGATCCTTTTGATTTTTGACTACCTGTGCTGTCTCGTATACAACTATGGCACCGTAACTATAATCGTCGCAATCATCGTTGACTTTCTCTTTCTCGGTTCATGTTGTTTGTATAATTTTTACCTCTGAACCTAATGTTCCTGTTTAATAAGATACTGTGCCGGTTTGTTTTGTTACGAGAGACTACCGTGCGGAATGATCGATTTAGAGCAATCTTAGCGACGGCAAAATTAGAAACAAATTCCATTTGTGGTGAGTACGGGTGGGATGTGGGCGGAACTTTAACAACAGCAAGTGATTTGAAGAAGAAGGATGGGGGTACAGGACAAGGCAAACATAGAATGAAACTGCCCCCACATGCGCAGTGCTTACCGCAGCCTTCGTCACCCGTTAACTACGGCACGTTTTTCTCAATTTGTTTTTATTAAATAGCACGCCTTTCTCCTAGCCCGTCTATCCGGCTTTGTAACACCATCTACAGCTGCTGCTTTTATCTCGTTTCGTTCTATCTTTTAGATTTGAGCTGTGCTACCTACCACTTGCGGACGTCTCTCAAATAGGGATTATTTGCATTGTTATGCTTCTTCAGTGTTTCCAGTCTTGGTACCCAGTCTATCCATTCGATCTCACTTTTCCGCTAGACGAGAACGTCATCTTCATTTTTTTTCGCTTTCAATGAGTAACTCTGTGTTGACCCCTTGTCCTTTTCCAGCTCTGCTTGTCTATCAGCAGTTTCTATTTCCGTTCTATACTTAATTGTCGCAAACGCTGTGGCAGCCTCCGGCAATCTCCGATTACTGCTAAGTCCCTGCCACCGTCGGACCTGTTGGAGATGATGAAAAACGTGTGATTTCCGATTCAGATTGAAACTTGAAGAAAAGTTTAAGCCAAACTGGAGAAGAAATTTACCAAGAAACAGAATCCCTATTTGGCTTACGTTGCATTTTGGCCATGGAGAAGTAAGCATCAGACAGAGTCATCAGTGAGGCTAGCTCTGTTGGTCGTCGCGGGTCGGACGGAGTTTTCATTTGTGGGATACCGAAAGCAGCCGGTCGAAAAGGCATATAGAGTGCAGGAGGGACACAATGTATTTTCACTGTGTACGAACCGGAATAACTTTGACGGGCACCGGGTGACAGTGAGGATGAGACGGAAGATTGCTGAAGGGTTGAAAAGGGCCCCAATGACACCTACAAACTGAAACACATTTGGAAGAGAAATGAACTCAAAGAGAAGTAATAACTTGAAAACTGCTGTTTTCCTGGTGGATTATAAAAGCGAAATCTAGGAAATACTAATGCAGTTGCTGTCTGAGCAATTACTAAAGTGTGTATGAGCGTAGAGTGCAATGGGAGGAAAGTTGAATTTTACAGAAAAGTAAGTTAAAAAAAAGCGTGAAGAACGAGGGTCAGCCACTTGTCCATCAATACTAACTTCAGAGGTAAAGGCTGATCAAGAAAGGTTAGGGTACGACAAAACTTCGCAAACGTTAAGTACTAAATGTGTTAGTGTTACTGTATTTGATTTACTTCCTTTATTCGTAAGAAACACCTGACCTTCATCTAATGGCCCTTGTACTTATATATGTATAGACAGGAATCCTTATCGACTTAAGATAGGACTTAGTTAACCCGCTTTGCTGGCAGGCTGACTAGTCATGCTGAATGGTAGATATAAGTATGTGCGTACTAAATGCACGCGACAATAATGAAAATGCTCTGAACAAATCACGTGCATTTGTCACGTAAGTAAGCTTACTTAGAGATTAATTATTAGGCCCTATATGATAGGATCTAGTCTGACCTTGCTTGAATTTGCAGATCTAAAATACCGAGTTGTAGTGACATGTAAATATTACGTGTGGAAGGCAGTCCCTTTGGCAACAGCCATTTGTCATGCGATCTGCTTTCATCGGCGCATCTGTACGTTTACAGAAGTCACGATACAAGTGCCATTGCTAGCCCCGCAGGTTGAGCTGCCGTTAACACCATAATTGATAACGTCACTGTTATCTATATTAACGTTCCAACCTTTAATAGTAATACTTATTTTTCTTTGTAACTTAGTTTGAACTTCAAGTGGCCAGATGACTAGTCAGTTAGGTATAGGTGATACTCCAACAGCCATACCATTAAACTGTCTTTTATTGCTTCACATGCTCAATAGAATTCCGCGAGCCCCCGAAGCTATCACCGGATCGTCGCTTATGCTTTGTCCTTTTCTAGCCAGCCTTCACTTCTAACCAACCTTCTAACGCTGCCAATTGTATGAGTCAAATAGCATTGTTTCTGTGTCTTCCTTTTTTTCTACTGAATCCACGAGGCCGACGCTTTGGTTCGTTCTAGCTTCATTCATGGCGTAACTCCGGAGTTTCCTGCAGCTTTGTGTTCTTCAGTACAGCCTCTAGCTTCACCCAGTCACTATCAGTTATACCGGAGACCTACTGCGGAGCGTCTGGTCCAAGCCATTCGTACTTTTTCCGCTGCTACTGATGCAGCTACTGTTCGCAGGGCTCCGAACACTGTGGTACCCCAGACCTATCTTACCCTTTGAAATGGCGACGCTCTAACCTTTTCATAATTGCTTTTCCTTCCCTTTTTTTCAGCCTCCGTTGACCCTTGTGGACTCACTCACCGAGGACATATCAACTGTCACGCCACTATCCGCTCAGCCGCTTTGTATCGGCCTTTGCATGTCCAGTAGCAAACGGAAATAAAGTCACTTCTAGAGGCCTAGCTTGTTTAAGGTCCAGTCCTAACCGTCAAAACGACAGTTTGCCACAGGTGACACGGACTTATCGGCTGCCTCGGCCTTATCTTTTGTTTGAGATGTCATTTCCCTAAAGGTTTAGTACATTGGAGTTCTGGGCCCCCAGGGGACTCCTGTCTGCGTGTGAGTAGCAGAGTCACTGGGATTTATTCACGCGCCATATGAGTTAGCACAGACACGGCCGGCGACGAGTTCTCTCTCATTCGCCATACTCATCGACAGTCCGGTGGATTTTGGGCATTCCAAAACAAGGAAATTGAAATCTTTGGGACGGAACAAGAAAGAAACGTATGAAAATAGGTGGATATATATGTACTCACGGTCTTGCTGCTGACTGCTTTTACAACTACTAATACTGGCCGTAAGGCTTCAAAAATGAAACGACAGAGGAGTCCTCGGTGAAGTTGACAGCACGTGAATAATCAGCTGACTCTCCGTAAACTTCTGCTTCTGCCGTTCTTACTGCTAATATCGCCTCTACTAGTTTTCGACAGAACAACGGCTGTTGGTGCAGGCTCAATACTTCAGCGCTCCGCTAGCCATCATAGCGGATAACGGGGAACGCTGGGAATCGACCAAGTCGAGAGGGAGAAACCGGTCGATGAATCATTAAAGAAAAATCGTGCAGACGGCAGCGGATGCGTCACAGGTAGGAAAAAAGATGCTTCGGTTAGAAGGTGTCGAGAGCTGAAGAATTTGGCGAAGGCGTCAATATTAAATAATAAGTATAGATAATAGTTATCTTGTTGGCCGTATTTGCTCGAATATAAGCCGCTACTGTATATAAGACGCGCTCCAACATTTAAAAGATCAAAAAAAAGCAAGAAGATAACTCTCAAGTATAAACCAAGCGCATAGGAAAATATGTTTCTGCCAAGTTGCAAATCTGCGCATCTCGATTCTTCACAATTAAAATGTGGGCAAAATGTACGACTTATACGATAAGGTAATAACGGTACAAAAAAAAAACAGAAAGACAATGTTCTCAATAGCAGAAGTTGGAAATCCATGATTTGAAAAAGTGCTATTGGATTAATTTTTAGAAGCTTTTTGTACTTTTCAAGCTTCAATGTATGCAAAATGGCCGGATCTTCACGGTTCTTCATCGTATTTATAGTTTTCATTACTATTATTATCGATTCTTTGCCGTCAATTTATTACCTATAGTATCTACAGAGAGCCACAGACAGACAACGGCCCTCTGTGGAGCGTATCTTTTTTCGTTCCCAAGTTAAATGTATAAGGCAGCATTATAATTAATTATAAAAGTTGGCAGCTAATGAGACGCGGTAACTCGTGCTTGTAGAGAGCAGTTATGTTGTTTTAAATAACCAAAGTATGCGAATAGATAGTAAGTAGAATTCAGTCTTAATTGAACTGCAGTTGGTCCCTGACATCGGTGTTACTTTATTCAAGCTAGCCTCCCCTTGGACTGGGCGCGCGCTAAGCATGGGCCTATTCGAAGTATCGAATGCCCACCTACACAATTCGATACTGGCATACACGATTGTGAATGCAATAGAAAAGACAGTGTGAATTTAATATCGGGTTATCCTCACAACAGTGGCCAATCAGCCTTCATCAACAGACTTTAATTTCTAGTAGTGTTTGCATCCTTAAATAAGCGCTTCATGCTACCTGTCTTGCATTGCGTATCTTCTATACGTTACTCACCATCCAACATTGTGGGTGACGGAAACAGTTGAATTCACCCTGCATCCCTGGCGGTGTATACTGAAAACAAAGTTTCGAACAATCGAAATGGGCGTACGTTAGCAACCATGCTAGAACTGTCAATCTAGGCTCTATGCCCCTTCTGGGTTTGTCGTTAACGATCTGTTGACAATCAATGTTCACTGAAGAGGCAATTTTTATGTGGGCTCGACTGCATTACGAAAGACGTTGTATAGGGAAGAGACGTTTGTATCACGAACGAATCGTCAAGTCAACCAGAAGCTAGGGCCATCGCCACCAAAAGCTTAGCTACGATTACGGAACTGGGGCATTTCAATATATGTTTGAAGCAGTCTGGCATTTTGGCGATTTGAAAATGTATAGACTTATCCATGATTTTGTGTATGTAAATAGTTCTTCGATTCGCATTTTATATGTGGCTCAATAAAGTACAATTTTCCAGTGGTCGTATTGAACTAGTTTTACCCAATGACAATGCGGTGTATGAGAATATGATAAAAAAACTCTTGTAGATGCACGCAGCTTGTGAAACAATCGTGTCCATTTTCAGGCTCACATCATTTTCTATCGTGCTACAGTCCTAAGTAATGCTCGGTTAGACAAAAAAAAAAGCCGTTTTCAAAGTTTTCTTCTTGTTGTATGCATTGAATAGATTTTATCTATTTAACGCTTTAAGACAATACTAGTAACAATTTTTCTCTATTCTTCCACTTTTTCTTTATTTATTTATTCCAGATTCCCTGTCCTGCACACTGTGCTCTATAACATAAATTTGAGGGAAAAAATTTTGTCGTCTTCCTGTACTAGCAGACGCCACAGCCACAACAACAACCGAAAGAACAATCCGAAGCTTTCAAAGGGGAAGCACAAAGAAACTTTTGCGCCCTTAGCCTGACAAAATCTATAGCCGTTTACCGGTGAAGCACAGTCGAATTGGTGTGATGCTCCTGCCTTACTCATGGCTAGCCTTTCTTTCATTCTTTTTCTCACCTCGTTTTTAGTCTCTTTCCTCTTTATTCTCCTGTACTATAGCAAAATAATCGTTCCGATATCAAAGCGGCGATTCGTCTGCTAGGGGAGAGGAAACCGCAAGCGAGATTCAAAACCGGACCGGCGCAAACACGCTCAGGCAGGGCAAACCCCCTCTCCTAGAAAAATAACGGTGCGAAGTAATAGTAAACAAACTGAGCAAGAAAACCGAAAATGCGTTAGAACAGTAAAAGAAGTAGACGATGTGTAAACTTCGCCAGGTAAAATGAGGTATGAAAATGCAGCGGCTTCAGCAAATATCGTAAGAAAACTTGATGGAAAAACACATAGGAACATCACGGGTTGTCGGCGGAAACGGCGCGTGCTTCCTGCGAATGTTTTCTAAAGAAGTCGTGGGCCAGCCGGAGCAAAAGTACTCTAGGATAGGAAAAAAGAGATAGGAACGAGGAAATATTCGGAGAACAAACGGCTGTGCTTCCCTCCACAATGCAGTACCAGCGCTCCGTGCTGTGGCTCCGTGGCAGAGCGTTGAGATTCGCATGAAGTGCGACAATACCGAGGCCAATAGCGAGCCAACGGTTGCCACGAGAAAGGCCGCAATAGTTCGTCCCTGATGTTCTCATTTCACGAGCAGAACCACCTGCATCAATGCTCGGTCGTTTGCTGGCAAAAAAAGAAAGAAAGATGGCGAAAAAGTAGCAAGTTAAAGGGGGAAAAAATTGAGAGAACGGCTTGTGCATTTTCTGCCTTGTTGGGGATGTCGACCTGGTTATTTTTCCGTTGTGACACTTCTGGGTCCGTATGCTGGTAGTGAATATCGCGATACGTCTACGCCGAGTTGCGTGTTGTTTCGTTGATGGTTTCTCTGTTGGCCGCGTCGGCGCGTCGGTGATTTGATCGTCGGGTACTGCCCCAGCAAGCGATTGTTCCTTTTAACAGAGAAGACCTAAGGAACTTCTTACCAACGAGCTCAACCCACCAAGCCGAGACGATTCTAACGGAAAGCCGAAAGCCCATCGACGTGGTCCTATATTCTGTTGACAAAGGGAATACTACCAGCACATTTCCTACTTTCGGCTATATTTGGCTATGCCGGGTAATCGGAGAGATGGCAAGAGCGGAAGAAATCGTCTTGCGAGAAATGATTTTGATGATAAGCCATAAGCACTGGCGGGCGTAGGGGAAGCGGTAACCGTAGTGGCATTGTGTAGTGGGATCCGTCCTGATCCAACATTCGAGGTTAGGAAAAGTAGCGGCCATAAGAAAGAATAGAAGGTTAACCTAAAAGAAACGAGACGATGAGAACGGCAAACTAGAATAAAAAAAATTGATATAAACGAGAGAAAAGTAGGCATTTTAAGCATATATCTCAAACCGATTAAGAATGTGTAAAACGCTGTAGTGAAAAAATTGCTTAGTTTTATGAGCATAAAATTCTATTTTGGAAAGGTAGATTCTCTATTTTCTGCAATGGAAGTACATAAGTGTTTTTTGGAAACGGGTGAAGCAGTTTCCTGAAAGGCATGTATCGCTTAACGTTTTATTGATGGTTTATTTAACAAACTGGTGTTTCAGAATAAAATGTCGAAAATTTTAACTGAGACCAAAAACGAATGAGAGGTGATTTGAGGTCATGGGGAAGTGAAAGCCTGATTCGACAAGACCACTGAAAAGGGAAAAAAAGGCGCGTTTTGGCACGAAGGGTTATTTTTTACCACAAACAAACAGGAAAGTGAACCCTTTCGGAATTTACGAGTCTCGGACCTGCGAGTGCGGACGGGGGGCGAAGTTAAGTATCGAAAGCGACTTTAGTTGCACAGGTTGCCACCACACCCTATCGGTTTTTCTTTTTCTGTATATATTACGCTACAGTTTTTGTACTACAGTTTTACGCTACTTGACCCAAAGGCAGACCCAAATTTAGGGAGTAGTATAAAAGGCGGTTGAAATAGGAATACAGTCAAACAGCAGCTACGACTTCCAGCAGAATGACTCACGTTCCTAACATGGCCATTTATACGACACATGAAAAGATAAGAAATCAATACATGTTAACGCGTGTGGTAGTAAAAGTTAATATATACAGGATTTTCATCCGGATATTGCACAAATAACACCGTAATGTCATTACGATGTTTTGTAGATTGAACATACACACATCTGAAACATGTCCATAAAATCATCCCTTCCATGGTGCTATTCTTTAAATTCCTTCGTGTGACCATTTTTCCCCATTTCGTAACAAAGGCGTTTCCAAAGTGTCCATATCCATGTAATACCAATCAGTTTAACGGCCCAGATACTGCACCTGCCGTTACAAGCAAAGGAGGAATTGTCAGCCGATATAATTACGTATAGGGTAAAATTAAATTATTATCTGTATTTAATAATCGAAAACATCTTTTTCTCATGTAATAAAAGAATCATAAATTCTGTATACTCATCAGATCAACATCATTGATATTCAATTATCTTTATACATAGTTGGGTAAATTAATTAAATATAATCTGGCAATAGCAGTAAAAATTGATATCTTCAATTACTTCAGTGTTATGATTTTCCAATAAAAATCTGTTAGTTAGTTAAAATATTAATTATAATGTATCTCATTAAAACAATAATAAAAATTAAAAGAAAAAATAAAGAATGGTCATAAAAAATCATTTGTTCTCTAATAGAAGAATTTACATACATTATTATACATATAAATAAAAAAATATTATCTAAGACATTTCTATATTTTCAAATTGTTTTCTATTTTTGAATATTAATTCTGGCAATATATTGAATGTAATTCATTTATTGTTAGTATTATTATTAAGAGAGAGAGAGAGAGAGAGAGAGAGAAAAATTATCTGGAGAAAAATTAAATCTTCATTGAAGGTTATAATTCAGAGTACGAGAATTTGCTATTACTAGTCACACTGATCGGCGATCGATTAGTCAAAGGTTTAATACTTAGCAAGCCAAATGGTCCACTTGCAGTTTCCAATAGTATATTACGTACGATATTATCCACTAGAAGTTCTTAGCAGCTAAGTTTCGGCTCGTACTGATTGATATTCGGTGTTCTTATAAGGAACCTGGCGTTACGTGAACTCTCGAGAAGACACTGTAAAGTTCAATGGCCATATAACTTCGATCCGATTAGAACTATCGACAAAGCTTTACGCAACACACTTCCGGCTTCACAGTTAACGACAGAAAGCTGGCTGATGTCGAGGTTACTTAGCTATTTGCTAATCTTTCCCGTTTCCCTATTGAACTATAAAATAATACTACGGCAATTGCAATATTCCAATAACTTCGCAACTTTTCCAGCTTTTCATCGAAACTGTCCCGTCACGTTTTTGTAGAAGCTTCGTTTTGCAATCAGAAGGACCTGGCCGGATCTTCTGTGCATTTTGAAGTACGTGTCGATGGCCAACGAATCCAGCGTTCGAGCTACAATAATCGATTCTGTCTTAACCTTCTAGCAGTAAGTCCCTTTGTGGATGCGCGTTAGGGGTGTCACTACTTAGGTATAGTCGCTGGTTGAATGGTTGACGACTATACCGAAGTGAGCCGTAGCGATTATACCGGAGCTGAGTTCAATTTTTCGCTGCACGACTTTCATGTTAACTTTTGCTTTTTCTTACCTTCTTTTATAGAGAGAGAGGATTATCAATGCCTTAAACCGCGTTTGTTGTCAGTAACCCTCTGCGGCCCCTCGGTAGTTGTTCCCCTCTTAGATACCTTTTTTCTCATTGTAAGATTTGGGTTCTACTCATTCCGATTGAACATCGTGAAAAATTAACAGTAGGATTTTAGCGGGAGTAGTTGAGGTTATTGACGGAAACTACCAGTACGGGAATGGGCTACCGATGAGTCAGCGACGTTTGTATGGTTGTACTTCCACTGTGTTTTTTGTGGCGCGGTGATTGTATTGATAAGGCCGACCGACCCAGTGGCTATGTGCTCACTGAGGCTGGGTGACAATGCCCGTAATCAACGGCGACCGTTTGCATTATATTGGCATTAGGAATGGCAAAGAGGGTTGCTAGGATAG